TCCCCTCCCCCCCAAAAAAAGGCCATATGACCGGGGCTAAAGTCGGAAAGACGGAGAAGAAAAAAAAGGAAGGGCATGACGGTAAACATGAAAGCCCTGGCAAAATTACTCTTGTGCCCTCCCAGGTGAAGGCTTCTCCACTGACCGCTGGACTATGGCCTGGGCCTCTTTCGATGGAGATCCTAGTACTAAGTAGCACCAGTGATCTTGTGATATACGAAAAATAAAGGACAGGAGACTACGTGCATTACCATGCGTGACTTCCCAGGCTGAAATCGTGAGATGGAGCTACCCACGTAGCGCATACAGCTCTCTTGCGCGAACTCTTGGCGTGCTGCCACCGAGTGACTCCGCCCGGCGAGTATGCAGGTCAAGGTGGCTTGACGCTACTTTCAGTGTATTTAGGTGCACCATCGCTGCTTCTTCGAATCCAAAAGGCGCAACCCACACTCCAAACATTTCAGACAGAAAGCGTAAACAAAGTATTCTCTTCTCGTCCCTTCCACTAGTTACCGCCCGCAGCATCTCGTGCCGCAATGTCGTCAGTTGACCCAGGCCGATCGGACATTGTCGCCTTCATGGCAAAGGCGTCCGAAGCCTTATGCCGTGACCTTCCAGCCCCCAAGGACGTCTTCGCATTCGGAGGGAACAACCCACGGGTAACCGACGAGCTTCTACAGCTAGCAATCGAAGGCAAAAAGACGGCAACAACCTCGTGGCCCATCCCGCAGCCTATTCACTGGGGCCCTGGCGACTTATCGGTCATCCTCAACGGCAAAGGAGAGCCTGCAGCTGTCATGCGGACCTTGTCGTTTGTAGAATGCAAGTTCAAGGATGTGGCTGAAGATTTTGCGCTGGCGGAGGCTGAGGGAGATTATGAGGAATATCGGAGGGGGCATATTGAGTTCTACGGGCAAGAGGACAACGGCCATGAGTTTGGTGACGATAGTATGGTCCTGTGTGAGCGGTTCGAAGTTATATATTCAAGTGCTTAGAAGCACGGCGTGAGAGAGCAGTCGTGTACTTGAATTACTGTGGTATGCATGTAATTACATCATACATTGGAGCAACATTTCGACAGTGAACTGTGCTCGTGCAGTGGTCATGTAATTTCAGTATATCTTATGCCCTATCTAGCCATCTTCACAATCGACTTGTCTAACTGTGAGATACATAAGACTGAAGCTGAAACCGCACAGAAATCTCTTCATGTTAACATTTTCATTCTGGAGCCCTTTCGCGTGTGTCCCGCAGAGACTCTTCCGGCGCGCACATCATGGGCGAAGTATGAATCAGAGCCCAAGTTGCAGCGGTGTAATCAGTACACCAGTGTGACTTTGCAAACGCTGAAACAGCTGGGTAATACTTGTCAACCTTTCTCGATCCTACAGCTTGGATAGCACATGCAGACAGCGATGACAATAATCCTTCCACATGACTTATGACACTGGACCTTATCCTCCCCGTTCCAAGCCATCAAGCGGTCAGGTCACTTAGTCTAGTGGGCTTGGTTACAGGGCCTAGAGCACTCATTGCCCAAACCCACAAATCTGTACCTTATCTCAACGGGCCTGTACGACCTCAACAAAGCTAAAACTACCTATCAGTAGGCAAGAGGTTAACCCAGAGGGTTTCTTCCTATAAGAGTTTATTCGTCACCACAGACGTGATTGTACTAGAGAAGGAGGCCAGAGGAGGCTATTCCAGAAGAGGGCGTATCAGATAGGTGCATCAGACAAGGCATCCCAGAGGAGGTCAGAGGTTCTTCAACTGAGGATGTCCCATAGTAGGATATCCCATGAGAGGGTATCCTATAGGAGGTTAGGAGGATACCATATAGGAGGATATCCTATGGGAGGATATCCCATGAGAGGGTATCCTATAGGAGGATATCCTATAGAAGGACACCCTATAGGAGGTTATCTTATAGGAGGTTAGAAGGGATACTATATAGAAGGATACCCTATGGGAGGATGTCCTATAGGACTATACCCCATGAGAGTTCAACCCATAAGAGGTAGAGAATCCCAAGCTTCGAGTCTGCTGTGGTAGCTGGTTCTGGAGCTTGGGACCGAGAGGCTTTGCTTAGTGCAGCGACATCGTTGAAGAAGCTGTGGGGCAGGGGGGGGGTTAGGGACGGGATACTGCGTGGGGGAAGCGGAGGCCTGGGGCACTTCTGCCACGGGCCAGGGAATCTGCCAATTTTGTTCTGGACCAGGCCAATAACCCTGTTGAGGTCTGCCGCCGGACCGTAATTCGGGTTCATCGAGACAACATCCACTGTGACCTTCAAGAAACCAAAAATCTTCTCGTGAGCATCTTTATTATATCAGCATCTCGCGCGGGGTTGGTTAGTAGTCCCGAGTCATCAGAATGGGGTGGCGGCCGCGTGTCTGCTCATTTCAACAAGAGGATCATGATGGTGGATTTCTGCAGGCACTTCCCGCTCTCAAAGCAACGGTCTTCGGTTAAAGTCGAGCACCAAGTCTGGATCAACAACGACATTCGACTATCTAAGGACAGAAGTTTTCTCGACCGCAAATTCGTTGCAAATTTCAGTCAAGTACGTAATTCAGCTCTTGGGATGCAAGGACAACTAATGCATCTTCCAATGAGATGCTCGGCATCCTGACGGACGCTTTACATTATACATGCGAAGTGCGTATCGGCAAAATGAGCGAGAAGAAGGTCGAGGGCGGAGATCGCAAGTCTATTACTCCGGTAAAGTGGTTCCCAAGTGTGCTACTTTCCGTTGTGTTTCGACTGGGAGGTGGGGGACTACAGCATGCCCAGAGACCCTCATGCCCTTCTTTCCGAAACAAATAATGACAGCTTGTAAAACATACTGAAGTAGAACATAAAGCTGTGAATGTCTGGCTTGCTTTTGTTGCTGCTATCTACCTAACAAAATACTTCAACTCGTATCACTCCTTCACAGGGGGCCTGTCAATCTCCAGAAGGAAATGGGTATGGTTCCTGGGCTTCAAACATATATCGTGATATATGTGGTGATGGACTGTGGTGTGGGTTCTCTGGTCGCTTTCCGATTACTCCTTGCTATCGATTCACTGTCGTGGGTACTATGATCGTCATGTCTAGTCAGCATGTGGTAATGTTACCTTGGTTGGTTTCAACGTTCTGCGCCTTACCGCTGAACTAATCTTTGTGGTTTGCTTGGTGTTGCTGGGACTGACCTCTTGCTCCCAGCACAAGATGAGCTGGATCGAATTGTCGCTGCAGTCGTCACTGATGATCCAGTGAGGGGTTTTTCTGTTGGAGCGCTGTGTCGGTTGCGGACGATGTTCTGCCGGTGGACACATGGAATGGCTGTAGCGGGGAAGTGATAGCCTCTGATTCGATGGCGCTCCAGAACGATGGCCTTGCATCGAGTGGCGATGATGGTTTGCAGTGATCTCATTCTGTGTCCTCTTCGAAGCGTTTTGTAGTGGGCAATGAAGCGAAGAGGGCCTTTGCATGACGATAAGGACTGTGCGATGACGTGGAAAGTGTGTTGTGCTGGCCTGTGTTCGACTTGACTGTTCCGGTTTGTTCGAATGAAGCCTCTTGCGGGGCGCTTGTCTACGCCTCGGAGCGAGCAGCAGAGCCAAAGCTTGCACAGTCGGTGAGGTAGATGATGGTGTGTGAGTAATGCTGAATGTGACATATTGTGGCGTCACATGTGGTTGCTCTTCCTGGTGGTATTGTTGCGGTTGGTGTTGGTCAGTGCCGTGATAGACGACGAGACAGCAAGCCCTTCTGGAGATGGTTGTGGATCCGCCAGGAGGGGCATATGTGATGGCTCGCTTGTGCAAGGAGTAGCTGCAGTACTGGAGTACTGGAGTGCAGCTTATGGAAGCCGCAACAGCAAGCCGGAACAGCAAGCCGCAATGAAACACCGCTACACGCCTCATGTTGGTGATGTTTCTGAGGACAGTGGCATACCGTCTACCCGTGTGAAAGGCGATGTTGTGTAAGACCTGGTTTGATGTTCTGGATGCGCAGGAGCCGTGAGAAGAGGCGATATTACCTCAGGGTTCCTCTGTGCACTTGATTGCTGACGGCAGTGGCAGTGGCCGGAATTCTGTGTTTGCGAGCTTGCTGCCCCGTGTGGGTATTTGATGATGCCGTTTCTGCAATCCGTATGAGATGTCAGTCGTCTCAGGGCCGAAATCTTCTCGGCTTTCGAGAACGATGAGAATGAAATGCCCAGGGGAAGGGGGGGGGTTCACTTGCCTGCCACGCCAGAAAGATGCTGGCAATGTTGGATCCGAAGTGCTCTTGGGAGAGACAAGTGCCTTCTCCTCCACAACATAATGTCGTCCGTCCGTCCTTTCGTTGCCGTCCCGTTCGAGATCCTGAGAAGGTGACTCCCAGGGTGTCCATGATGCCCCGGTGAGTGTTGTCCCCCCTTTCGGTCCGAACCCAGGCCACAAACCCACATTCCCGGAGACTCACAAGCCTTGAGTGCAGAGCCTCTTGCCAATAGCCACCACGCATTGCCTCGCCGGGCAACCTCCAACACTTCCACCTCCACCAAACATAATCCTCCGTCTTCTACTGTGCCCTGCTTTCCCGTCTTCACTCCTGCTTCCCACCCCTCCAGTGCCCTCTCCGCTTCCAGTTCGTTGTTCCTCCAGTTCCTTCCCTTCCAAGCCATGCATTTTCCCTCACACCTCTCATCCAGCTGTACCTCCAAAGGCTTTTCCATCTCTTGTCATGAAGCCCTCGGTCTTCTGTCCTCCCCGTCCCTCCTGAGGCCTCCTTGCCTTTGCCGGGGTTGCCCTTCCATTCTCCTTGTCCAGCCACAACTCATCCCGCCCCTCCTCCGTCAGTCCTCGCTTCTCATCAGAAGCATCCTTGTTCCGTCAGTCTTGACCTTTGCGGCCGTGGCATTGATGTTGCGGACGCTCGGCGGCAGTTGACGGTCCGGGGTCGCTCCCTGGATCCTGAAACTTGCGCAAACATCTTGTTGCCAAAGATTCCGCTCATGAACAACAATCGGTTCGATGGTGTAGTTGGTTCATCACATCAGTCTAACATTAGAAACTCGTTCAAGAGTGAACAATGGGAGCACTGAAGGTCGCCAGTTCGAGCCTGGCTCGAATCACTTTTTGCCGGTCTGGCCTCGTGATCAATTTTTGAGTGGTCCGGTGATGTTGTGGTGCCGGCAGCAGTTCAACGAGCCTCTCGGTGCATCCCTTGGCGTGAGCTGCGACGTGCGGTGGGTTGGGTGGGGTGGGTGACGAAATGCCAGCAGTGACGGGTGTCGTTGCAGTTGGCGATGGGGTGTGGTGGCCCCGGGTTCGGGGGGGGGGGTGTCAAGTATTCTTGGCGGTGGTGTGTGGACATGGCGGTCTGCAGGCATGGCAGAGCGAATGGGCTGGCAGTGTCCGGCTTGCCAACAATCGGAAGACTAGGGCCTCGTCTTGATGGTCCAGTACCGGCTGCGAAGAGAACTGCACTTTGCAGGCACGGGTGTGACAAAGGGGCTCCCTGGAACCGTAGGGCTCGGCAAGGCTCTCGTGCGTTGAGTCCGGTGAGCAGAAAACGACGGTGTTGGTCTGGGTGAGGGTGAGTCAACGCCTTGTTCGGTCAACCCTGGGCCATAGCTCAAGCATTTCCTCGCTGCCTGGGCGAAGAGCCTCTCGTGACAATCATTGCTGCCATGAAGACACACACATTCGCGTAACTGATGTGAGGATGGTGGGAGTCTGGTGCTTGCTGCGCTTGTCCCGATGCTTAGCCTAAAGGTGTTGCCTCGCGGTTGTGGCGCTCTTCGGTGGGGAAGAAGTCGGGGCAAGTCCCGGACTACGGGATTGTGAAGAGCACGAAGTTCGCATCTCTGCGGAAGAACACGTGGGCGATGAGGTCGCCCTTTCCACTCTGGTGATGTTGTCAGTTCTCGTCCAGGGCTGTGAGAGGAAGTGGGAGTGACTTGCCATGTCCAGCGAAAGCGAATAACAGTGCCAGCCCAAGTTCAAGTGGAACAGCAGCATGTGGATCTGACCTTGCATATGCACCACCGACCTAGCCAAGGGCAAGTAGGATGCGCGAATAGCGAGATCGAAAGAGAACAGGGAATCTCTCTGTCGCGGCCAAAGGTTCTACCCAAGCGCAAACATTTTCGCCCGAGGCCGTAGGACGGACCATGAGAAGATGGTCGCAGAAGTGCAAGAGCAGGCAGTCCCTCTCAATTTGCCCTGGTGGACCATGAAGTCAAAACCGCAGCAGAGTTCAAGGTTTCTAAGCGGTTTTGATAATTGAGGTTGAAAAGGGGTGCCGATGAAAGATGCTTGCAAAAGATGCTGGTAAGGAGATGCTGGTAAGGAGATGCTGGTAAGGAGATGTTGGTGATAGAATGTTGGTGAGGGAATGTTGGTAAGAAGATGCTGGGGATGAGATGATAGTGAAGAGATGCTGGTAAGAAGACGCTGGTAAGAAAATGCTGGTAAATTGATGCTGTTGAAAGATGCTGGTTGACGATGCTGGTTGACGATGCTGGTTGACGATGCTGGTAGAGACGGAAAGATCTTGACGGAATCCATTGGGAAACATCTTGGGCGGTGATCATCGTGAATAACTTCAGGCCAAATGCTTCAAAATGTGGAAATCGGGTAGGTTTCAGAGTAGCACACAGTGTCTTGTGGCGGCTGTTCCCCGTTGTAGATGCCCATTCTCATGGCATCGTGTGCATTTTGTCCTGAGGCGCCTCCGCGGGCAAACCCCTGGCAAGTTGTTGTCAACTGAAAGGTCGCCCCCCTCTGGCGGAGACCATGAGACGTCGAGAATCCCAATGATAGGTTGTTCCAAAAGAGAGCATTCGCGATGGTGGGTCTTCGTCATGGGTTTCCTCGCCAGCACCCTCGAGCCAGCTGAAGCCAGCGAGCGACGTTATCGTGGAGACCCATTGACACAAAACCCAAGAATGAGCGAACAGTGTAACTCCTGTTGCGGAACGGCGGAGAGCCGAGGTGCTACCAAATGCTTCAAATGGCCGTGCTAGATTGGCTCGAGATCGTGAAGCGAGGCCGGCAAGGTACAGAGAAAGGATTGCGGGGCCAAGGCTCGAAGTCGAAGAGGATACTGGGGTTGAAACCACGTTGGCATTGCGGAGGAAATTTGAATTGCGAGAGACCCCATGAATTGTGAAGCGAGGCACCCCCCCCCCCGCGACAAGGACCAGTCAGCGGGGTGGGCCCACGGCGCCTTCAAGCCAGCGGAAGCCGGCGAGGGCGCCATGCAGCGGCTGGCGGAGCATCTCGGACCGGCCGGCACGCTCGACCAGTCACCCGATGAGCGATACCGTAGAACCTCCACGACTCACAGCCAGCAGAAGCTAGCGAGAGACCGTGAAGATGTACCACCACGCTCAGCTGGCTGGGGCCAGCGAGCGATGGTGAGGTTCATGCCATGCTCAGCCGGCGGAGGCCAGCGAACAATGACTGGGTGCCACGCTCACCCGGCCGAAGCCATGGAACAGTGACGGATTTTCGAATACTCTCGTCCAGCCGAGGCCGGCGAGCATTCATGGGAGGGTGCAGACAGGGACGTTGTGTTTCAAATCAGGTAACCGGCACCTTTCGATGCCAATTACTCCAACGAATCAGGCTCATCCATGTCCTCATCCTCGTCTTCAAGTTCGTCCTCCTCGTCAACAGCGCTGGACGCAGCCTTCTTGGCCGCCTTCCTGGCCTTATGACCGGGAACGAGCTTGGCTGCTCGACGAGTCATGGACATCGGCTCACCGGCCTCCATCCTCGCATTGGCATCGCGCCAATACTGGTCGATTTGGGCAGGCGTCTTCTTGCTCTTCTTGGGGTTGAGCCAGTAGGGAACGCCCTGAACCCATGGGAGGGTACGGTCGACAGGAACGAAATAGCTCGCGACCCGGTCCTCAAAGTTGTTCTCGCCGCCAACGCAGACTGGGCATTTGCCCCTGGAAACGACGTAGAACCGATGCAGCAAGGACTCGCGCCTGTTGGAAACCAGACCACGAACGAAACATCCTCACCAGGGCACAGCTGGTCCATTCATTCCTCGGAGCCGTCAATTACATGAGGGTCTACTCGGCTGTGGGGAGGGTCGGTGTCCCCCGTGCCGAGATCTGTTGCCAGCTGGAATTGGGAATCATCTGAGCCTCACAAGGAGTTCTCAACCCAGTGAGGGCGGCTCAAATGCCGCGTGCTCAAGCGAGCTGCCCTCGCCGTAGTTGGCGTTGCCCACGGTGCGTCATGTGTGATACTTTTGTTTTGACACAGATATCAAAGCAGTCAACCCCCCCCCCCCCCCAACTTTCCATTTTTACAAGCTTTGCTTGGGTGTCCACTACAAGGCCACTGCATGAATAATGAGCCAGCTGGGCACTGCTCAACCTTCTGTGAGAACAACCTACTATGAGATGATGAGATGTCTAACAGTTGATCTACTCGCCAGAGTGATCAATGGGAGCACTGAAGGTCTCCGGTTCAAGCCCGGGCTGGATCAGTGGTGTTTATTTTTTTTTTGTCTTTTTGGTGTCTTGATTCAAACTTCACCTAACCGCCGGGACACATGTCTGGGAATGATTTTGTCCATTGTCTTCATTTTCCTTTACCGAGTTCCTTGCACAAGAATGCTGAGATTGTGCGAGCTTACGTGTAGGGGTTTGAGACCTGACGAGCTGTGCCGGTCAACAGAGACGGTGCCATGGCATTCAGACCGAGTCAACCTGCTTCGTGTACAATCATGAATCAAAGGCTCCTTATCATGGATCCGAGCGGATCCTTTATTTCTAGATCGGGCTGTACACACATAATCTGCATCCCATTTCCAGGTCCGGTACATACGGTGCTGAGTCGCGCAGGCTGCCACGCGAGCTGACCAGGAGCATTGTTTTCCCAAAACCGATTGCAACAGAGTAAGTGGGGTAGAATAAAGTTTTATTTGGCAGATCTTGGGTTCACTGACGCGGCAGAGCAAGGATTGTGTACCTCCAGGCATTGTGTGATCGTCACAACGTCGATCGTCTGGTCTTGGGAGTTCGAGGCTGTACCTTGCTGAACATCTGGGGAAGTGAAGCTTGGCAGATCTCGCTCGAAAACAAATGTCCTTCAGCACAGGCCCAGCAGTTGCGTCGCAGTCTCAGCTCCGCACACTGCTAAACCTTTAACATGCTATGCTGCCTTACTTGGTCACTGGATTTGGCTTCTACCTGAAGATTGTTTTCTTGCGGCAGGTCTTCCGTGTGCCGAGACGAGTACTGACATCACGGATCCGACCCCCATTAGCTCAGTAAAGTCGTGGCTTACCCTTCTTGGCCCAGAACACGACTGTATCCGCTTGCTTCATACGGCGGGTACTGCCAAAAGAACATAAGCTTTGCCATCTTGGGAGCAATGGCCCCTCCCGACCTCGGGTCACGATGCTGACTCCACGGACCCACAGTCGAAAGGAAATGACTTTGGATGCAAGGAGATCGACCTGAGGAGCTAAACCCGGGCCTCGGGATGCACGCATCGAGCACCGGGGCCGAAGCCCCTGGCCCCACATATGGAAATAAGACGCTGGCTCGGAGTCGCCCGAGATCTGCGAGCCTAGGGGGATGGTGGACCACTGCAGCCGTCTTGCCGCTTGAGGCTCTTCTCTTCACAACCTCCCCTTTCTGCGTGCAACCTTCACAACTAGCCTAATGCACACCTGCTGCTCGGTTCGCATGTTGGCAGCTGCCCAGACTCGGCGTCCATCCATTTCATAAATCCTACGCCAGGAGAGCCTGTCTCGGTAACTTGCCGCCGCACTCCTCACCGCGATTACCTGGACCTACGCCGAGTGCAGTTGTTGACGGATCAATTCTTTGGGTCTTGGCGGTTTCAAATTATATTGTTTCCCTCCGGCCCCCCTTGGAGCCGCCCTCATTGTCATTGGTCTGTCAGGAGGATGCGGCTCAGGTACAGCTAAACGTCCCCTGTCTCATGCGGGTCGATGTTTGATGTTTCTCCGTTTGGACTGTACAGATCCTTACAGATCCAGGCTGTCTGTCCACGATGGCATCGGGAGCCTATGAGAGGCTTTCCACCACGTTTCTTTTGTGGAAGGCTGACCATATGCGGCCCTGGCATACCCACTTCA